CTGTACCAGCTTGATGTTTATATCTTTAATCTATCATTCGCATCTTGGTTTTGCTCATAAGCATTTCTGTCTTCTTGCAATACATGGTTAGTCCTTTTTTCTGTCTTTCTTTCGCCACCCTGTCTAGGAGGTCTGGTAGTTTTCTTCCCAAGCCGGTCATCAACACAGTGTCATCTGCGTGTCTTATATTAAGATTAGGCCCACTGAGAATAAATCCTAGTCTCCAATTATCTTAGGATAGCATCGCTGTAGAGGATTATTAAATCTGGGAAGACGACACATCCTTGTCTCATTGACAAGTAATGTTTCCAATCCTATAAAACAATTTTTAGACTAAATAAAACAATGGAAGTTGTATGAAAATAAAGTATAGGCGATCATGGATCTATACAATCTTTATTCCTTGTGGCCCTTGGCAGTTTTTTCCCCTTGCTAAGGATCTCGTCCTCTTTTCCGCCATCCATTCATACAAGCTCTTAATATACCATGTGAGTGTTAAGATTTACAATCCTTCCTTCCTCATTATGTGTCCAAGATATATCAAGTGTCTTTTTTTTTTGAGTAGAAGTATTCTTTCATTTGCCATTTCCTTTAAGACTTTCTCGTGGTTTACTGGTTACGTGAATTCTCAGTATCTTTCTGTAGAACCACCAAAATGAAGTAAATATGTTAACTTCAAAGTAACAAATTTATTTTTAGAAAATATTCGTTATTTAGTGCTAGATATTTTTTTTGCGTTTGGTCCATGAAGAAAAATTCCTTTCGTTTCCCTTTGATCTAATTGCTCTTTGCAAATTCAACTTCGGCATTGGCTGAAAAAAAATGTTGACCTTTCAATTCCTTTGTCAATTTGGGAAACAGCTAGAAGTCTTATGGTGCCAATCTGGACTTCTACAGAGGGTTGGCAACGAATTCTGAATTTCAGGCGTGTGCCGTATGCAGACTGCAATGTGGCCTGGGATTATCTCTATACATGAAAGCGTTCACCTTTTTCATCTTATTCCATGAATGCGTTGTTTGAGCGCTTGCAAGGCTTCATCGCTTTCATATGTCGATGAATTTCGATGATGCCCCAAATTCTATCAGCCATTTTAAACGTGATTCAAGGCTAATAAATACTATTACTCACAACCATAAATTAGCGGATTGACACTATGTTTAAACTGGATTTTATACACTATCAAATATTTAAAACATTTTTCTGTCGCTACTGTTAGCGTCGACACGTATAAAATACATTATTTATCAACCAGTCCTCTTACTTTGCCACTGTCTGCAATCACTGAAGAAAGCAAAAACCGCCGCTCTAAAAGGCCATCTTCTGGGCGTTTCCTTGCAGGGCCGACCCGTATCTAGTTTTTTAAACTCTCGTGTAAGCAGGATTCTTATCTATCCTTTTCTTTCTTTTTTTTTTTTTTAATTTTTTGACAAGGGTATTTTATTTCCTATCACAGACATGCTTGCCAGTTGATTGGCATTCAGCGGTTGAACGTGTTCCATAGGGGTTGATACACTGTGCTTATCTGTTCATTGGTGGGAGTAGTTAGGGAAAATCATTAAGTTTGAAGGATGAGGCAAGCACTTCTAGTTGGGGGCAATATCAAGATACTTGACAACATCTGAACGGACAGGGGTAACTGAGCTAGATGGATTTCTAACTGGAGCCACCTTCAAGTTTAAGCGCAGCTTTTATCAAAAAGTTGTTACCACATTTCACATATTTGGCTGTGATTCATGTGCCTGGTATACCCTTATTAGACTGCAACAATGAGTACATTGGCTTTCGTATATTTGTACGCCAGCATCTCTTTGTTGACGTACTGCCCTATCACTACAATCTCTCCTCCTCTTAATAATAATAATAATAAGTGCAAATAATAATAATAATAATAATAATAATAATAATGATAATAATAATAATGAATGGGAAGAAAAACAGGCAGAATTCGAAATAAGTCAGCGCTAATATGGATCGAACCCAAACAGACCGATATCTAAGAAGAGCCGGCTTAAAATCTAATATTACAATTCTGTTATAGTTCTGCTTGGGGAGTTACTTAGTTCGCACGACCGTTACACCCTGCCAGTGCCTAATAAATAATGGGATATTCCGTTTTGATCGCGTGAAAACACAAAAATGACATATCAGAGACGCTACTTGGTTTCAGTGAGAAGCTGAAGAAAGAAAGAAAAAAAGAAAATATTGCATTTTGAATGTGCAGAAAGACATATCAAAGACGCGACTTGGATTCAGTTAGAAAGAAAGAAAGAAAGAAAGAAATTAAGTAAGTAAATAAGTAGATATTTACTTGACCCTCACTCCACTGAGTCAGATTTTGATACAAGGTCACTTTTTAACGAGGGGACCCGAGTATTTTCATTCGGGCCGCTGGTCCAAAGCTGGTCTTAACTGGTCATAGCTTGTCCAAGCTGGTCAGAGCTGGTCTAAGCTAGTCGTAGCTGTGATACCACCAGCGCAGGGATGGAGCCCTACATCAGG